GATTTTAATTCCTCCCTTGCTGCTGTTCTGGTAGCATAGGCCTTAAGAGGAAGCAGGCTTCTTTCTCCTATTGAGTACTTTCTCCTGTTCAGTACCTTTTTACGCGTAAGACTTTATAGTGGTTTTACCATACTTTGGCAGCGCTGGATCTCCCAACTGGCCTTTATAACTGGAAAGATCATTTTGCACAAAATTATAGTCCAGCCTTGTTCAGGAATGGTCTAATTTTCATGCTTTCAGAACTAATACATTTGGGTTGTTTCTTTACAAACTTTTAGTCACAGAAAATCCTTTCTTCTTTTTTTCCCTTTTTTCCTGTGAAGTTGTAGGAATGATGTGGGGTTCGACAGGCACTGTCTCAGATGAGCTGGCAGCTGTAAAATTGTAAGGAAAAAAACCGTCTAGAGTGAGCCTTCTTTGAGCATGGCACAGCTTATTTGTTTTTTCAGAGAGCTGGCGGTAGATTGAAACAGGGTTCGGTGCTTATGGTGCATATAGCCATCCTATCTTTAGTCTGGTGAATAGGCTTTGTATCATTTTGACAGGGATGATAAGGATACATGAGAATATGAACATAATTATGAGAAGCAGTGTCACTCTTAAACTGCTTTCTGCAATCTTAAAATGTTTTTCCTGTCTACGGCTTTAAATATTTTGCCAATATTCTACAGACAGTAATCCTTTTATTTCTTCCCACTTACTAGGGTTGCCAGCTGGCCTGGAGAAAAATGTCTTGTCTTTTACTAGAGGTTTAATGTGTGGAAATCAGCAGGTGAGGATTTTCATGGCATGGATGTAAATTAAATCACCTGGGAAATTACATCCTATTAAGCCTCTATGAAAGGGATGTTGTATTTTTCTCTAAGCTTGTTGGCAATCCTACCACTTTCTAATGGCCCAAGAAAAAAGATACTTAAAATACTAGAAATTATTTCCTTTGAAGTCCTGTTTCCTTTATAAATTATCACCAGAATACTAAAGTTATAATTAGATACAATTAAGATGAAAATCCTCCACAGGCTCATGCACCTTATGTCCTACTAAAGGTGTGCCCACTTGTTTTGCTTACAAACCCCATAGCTCATTGCACTCCAGTATATAACTGTAGTTTGAATATTGAATGAGCAGTTCTGTCTCCTGCCAAAAGAGCTGCACCAATAGCAGATAAAGCAACAGCAAGAATGATCATCATTTTTGGTGACCTGTAGCCAAAATCAGATTTACAACAAACATTATACCCCAACTTTCTCCTCAATGGGGACCAAGTGGCTAATATTTTTCTCCTGTGTCCCATTTTATCGTCAAAATAACCCTGTGAGGTAGGTTAGGATGAGAATGTGTGTGGCTCATAGTCACGCAGCAAGGATTCACACCTAGGTATCCTACATTCTGCAACTCGTATAATTCTGAAGCTGGTGGCCTATTTTGAAATGCCTACCTTTATTTTCTGATTTATGCCTGCCACAGACTATTTTAGCTTTTATTGCAAATAGATAAGTAGGTAGAGGGGCTTCTGGAGATAACCTAGGCCATGATGTTCTGATTCCCATTATTTTTGGCATTTCAACTCCTGTCATCACCCTGAACTCTAGTTTCTGATGAGTTTGGTGGCCAGTTTTCAAATGCCTTGCTTTATTTTCTGATGCGTAATTCCTGCCAGAGTCAACTGTAGCTTCCAATGTAGAAAATGGAGAGGGGTTTCTAGAGATTACATGGACCAGGATCTTCTGATTCCCTTAGGGTTCCCAGGTCCACTTACCTGGCTGGCAGGGGGCTCCTGAGGTTCTCCCAGGAGACCGGAAGTGACGTCGGGCGACTTCTAGTGAAACCAGAAGTGCAGCTGCTGCCTGCCCCCCTGTCATCACATTGGGGTGACGCCCTGTTTTTTGGTTGAAACTCTATGGTATATTTGGCTTCAGACCATAGAGTTTTGCCCACAAGACAGCATCACCCCCAACATCCCCAACGTGGTGACAACACTACTGGGTGATGTCATCACGTTGGGGCCTGCACTTCCAGTTTTGCCAGGTTGCCTGGAAAGGTCAGTTGGGGGTGGGATTTCTCCCCTGCCAGCCACTGGCTGACAGCAGGCAAAAGCCCACAAAAGCAGGGGTTCCCCACCTCCATCGGGGGATTGGGAACCCTAGATTCCCTTCATGTTTAGAACTACAACTTCATTGGTCATACTGATAGTGATGGCCACTTTTCAGATTCCTACTGCCATTTTCTGATGAGTGATACATGCCACAGATAGATGGACAGATCCTTCTATTATTATAGATTAAGGCTGGATACAGAATTACATAAAAGCAAAAAAGGTCTACATTAAATCAATTGTTATATTTCTTTGAGCCTGTAGGAATAATAGTTTATTTATTTGGCATTATTTCTATACTACCACATTGATCAGAACTAAGCAGAATTTGCCCAGATGTTCTGCACAGGTTTTCTTGATTATAAATCTGAATTATAAATCTGAACAAAAAAAAGTTTGTCATGTTCTGAGTTTATTCTATGCAGTTTAGTTATGGGTTGTGCTAAGGTATCCTAGTTTCCTTTGTTGTGATTGGCTGTCTAATAAATGCCTTCTAGTGGTCCTGAAGCCATACAGAGTACCCTATCAGGAAGCTCCGCTTAGGTCCAATCAGACCTCATGAAAGTAGCAACATTGTATATAGTTCAGCATTGGAATGGTAGAAGTCTGGGTGCCGCTCTTATCAGAGCAGATCCACTGCTGAGTAATGTTATGAAAGTCAAAAGCAACAAAAACAGTCAAGCTAAACATAACGAAATACAGTTGTAATAAACATTGGTTTATTTAGAAATCAATCTAAGCAGATAAATTCTTCTTAGAAAAGATGAGAATTTCCTGGAAAATTGTCTTGTGATTGCAGCTAAAACCTTAAAAAGGTGATTGCAGTGAAGAATTTTAAAAAGCCAAAGCACTTACATCAGCAGTTCACTGTGATTATATTATTATTTTCTATAATTCCATTTGCATTTTAGGTTCCTGTGAATTGTGCCTATGGGCTGTGGGCTACAGGAACAACTAAATGACCTTCTTCAGGCACCTTCCACCCTTATCAATCTACAGTTGTTTAAATAGGATACCATGTTGTGTGGTGATATTTGTCAGAACTGAACTACACGTTATGGTCCTCTCTGAATCTGTTACGAGTATTTTCAGTCGTATTCTGGTTTTGCATGTTCCCCACTGGGAACAGAACTCATGGGAGTCTGATTTGGATCAGGGCCTTGGTGTACGAGTCTCAATCTGGATGGAGCTCACCAAACAGGGTGTGAGGGGAAATCCTCATGGCTGACACAATGTCAACCACAACTTAGCCCTCAGGCTAAGACACAGAACTGACTAGGTGATCAAACTTTTCTGTTTTGTCTGGCATTTCTGTCTTATGCGTTAATTGGCTATCTTCTAAGATTGCCAGGTCCCCCCAGGCCGCTGACAGACGGGTGGATAGGGTTGCCAGATCCAGATTGTAAAACTCCTAGAGATTTGGGGATGGAGCCTGGGGAGGACAGGGATCTCTGTGAGGTACACTGCCATAGAGTCCACCCTCCAAAGCAGCCATTTCCTTCAGGGGAACTGATCTCTGTAGTCTGGAGCTGAGCTGTAATTCCAGGAGATCCCCCGGTCTGACCTGGAGGCTGGCATCCCCACTGCCTTATGTTTTAAGTATGTATTTTTCACTCTGATTGTTAATTGGTTGTATGGTGTATTTTTATTGTACTGTTTTAAGCATTAGCAGCATTGGTGGCTCTAACTGAGTAGAAAGGCAGAACATAAACGTTGTAAATAAATAAATCATGGGTTAGTCATTCTGCCACAGCCTCACAGTTGTTATGAGGATAAAATGTAGGAGGGGAGAACCATTATGATGCTTTACTTTTACAGTTTTGGTCAAACTCGTAGTGGTTCTCTAGTATCTCAGACAGAGGTCTTTAGCATCCCCAAGTTCCTGGTCCTTTTAACTGGAGATGATGGGGATTGAACCTGGGACTTTCTGCATGGAAAACAGAGGCTCTCCCACGGAGCCACAGGCCTTTTCCCCACCTTGAGCTCCTGGAAGGAGGTGCAAGATAAAATGTGAAAGACAGGAGGCTGTTCCTGATATGAAGCTGATGTAGTGAATGAGAAAATGTTTTAAATAGAACGGTTTAAAAGTTTGCAGAGAGAAGAACACAGGCCTTGTTCAGATACTGTCCCTTAATAAAGTTTCTGTCAAATTATGTATTGGTTTACTTTGAATTTGATCTTTCTTCAGTGGCTGTGTATATTCTAGGATCCTGGTATAAATTTGTGATTTGGGGAGGAGCTGTGGCTCAATGGCAAAGCATCTGCTTAGCATGCAAAGGGACCCAAGCTCAATCCCTGACATCCTCAGTGAAAAGGGTCATGTAATAGGTGATGTGAAAGACCTCTACCTGAGACCTTGGGGAGCCACTGCTAGTTGGAGGAGACAATCCTGACCTTGATGGACCGAGAATCTGATTCAGTACAAAGCAGCTTATATATTTAGCATGGAGGCCTCATGTTTTCTTTTTCTGTGTAGTTTAATCAAGTGTGTGTATATGTTTAAATATATTTTGGTTCTTATGGATTAATGTAATTGATGAAATGTGGTATTCTCAGAATGTACTGAGAATGTAACAATTTAACACCGGGGGTGGGGACGGACACGGGGGGGAATCGTTTAACTGATGTTTCAATTTATCTTGAAATAGATGAAAAATTAAAACCAGGATGCATTTCAGTTTCCACTGATGCAACAGCCTTGTGCTAGCACCTATAACCCATATTTTAGAAGATTTGTGCTAAAACATCTTTCCCTGGCATTCTATTTAAGGATAAGCTGTATTAAACATCCATACCATGTTCCTTGTTGGAGATGTGGTTTCTTAATGAATCTCTCATTTATATGCTAAGAACATGTTGCACCCAATTTTATATCCCTAAACAGTATGTACTTGTCTATGTTTAGGCACTACAAAAGTGAATCTGATAAAAATCCCGTCAACTGTTTCCAGTCCGCGAGACACTGCCCTAGCTGCTGTGATATGCAGTGCACTGGCAACTGTACTCCTAGCCCTCCTCATCCTGTGTGTGATCTATTGCAAAAGGCAAATTATGGAAAAGAAGCCAAACTGTAAGTTTCTCATACTGTCTATAGATCTAATTCTGAACATATCCCAGAATGTGGACCAAGAAATCCACAAAAAGAAGGCATGTTTAGATAGGGTAGACTTTTCTGCAGGCAGGGGACAGCCCTCAGGTTCAAAACAATTTGGGTGGGGTGGATTAAAGTAAAGTGGATTTAAAATCCTTAAAAAATTAAAGAAAAATGAGATCTCACAAGTTCCATGACTTGACCACAGCTGCCATCTTGGAGGTTGCCTAGCAACCCTCAAGATGCATTGAAAGAAGCGGGAGGAGACAATGCTGAAGGAGTCCAGGGGTCATTTCCTGCAGGAGCGCACAGGAGCGGAGCTCCGACAGTAAAGAGCCCAGGGGGCGGGCACATGCAACAAGCCCCACCCTCTGCTCCCAGCAGCCCTCAGTCAGAGCAAGAAGCAGCCAGGTAAGTTGCAGAGCCCCCCCCCCGGTCCAAAACAGTCCAGTGGCACCTTTAAGACCAAGTTTTATTCAGGTACAAGCTCTCCCTCCTCTGCGAGGACAGGTCTGCACGTTTCCCCCCCCCATAGCTAGCAATTCAAAACAGTCCAGTGGAGCCTGAGCGGTGGGTGTTGCCTTCTGACACACTTCCGGTGATGTCAGGGTGTGTGGCATATGCAAATAAGTTATGCTAATGAGTTATGCTAATGTGTTCCTGCACCTCTTTTTCTACGAAATGACCCCTGGTCAGTACTGAGGGCTGGCTGTGTTTGTTGGGGATGCAAGGGAACAGCAAAACACATTATCCAGCTGTTATAAATTGCTTTCAGCTCAAACATTCAAAGCGGTAAATGGTAAAACTTGTATAGGAATTTGAAATTTCACTGGATATGATTAGATAATATTGTGAAGGCAGTTTTATCAATACTGTTTTGTCTCTGTTCTAAAGGGTCTGTAAGATCACAGGATGTTCACTATGAAGGCTCTGAACTATCATGTTTCGACAGACCGCAGCTTAACGTATATCCTCACAGAGCATGTTGCCATTGCCAACGGGACCCATCACACATGTGTGGTAAGTACAGACTTCTCAGTCGAGTTTTATGGGAGCAGAAACACTTCAAGCAGTAAGAGCACAAGAGATGTAGAAATTCTTAGTTTGGCTTCATAGTTTAAGACATCTCATTCTCAAATAATCTTCTCTTCATAGGATTGGGGAACTGAATTGCTGTGACAAAACGTAACATTTTGAGATGAAGTATCCTATCATAACAAAACCAGTTGCTACTAAGCTGCTGATTACATTTTAGTCAGTTGGAATATTCAGGAGTATATGTTTATTTATATTCTTATAGCTTACCCAGAAATCATATTTTACACTAATATAGGAATAAATCTTAGTATGCTATTTCTGAGGATAGACAGGTACCTGGGTACTGGCACAGATTAAGAGGTCATACCAAAAATATAGCCTACCCTGCCAGGGTAACATTAGATTTTCTTCTGTCATACACTAGGGATTGGTTTGTTTGATTTCATTCTAACCATCAAGAAGAGGAATTTAGCCTCTTTTATATAAAACAGAAATCAGACATCTGGCATCTGATAAATTTGCGGTTGGAAATATGCCATGTATAGAAAGTTGCACATTATATACTGTTTACTTCAGAATCTTTTTTTCAGGGTACCCAAATTAGATTGTGATTTAACTTGTAATTACGGCTTTCTGTGTCAGTCGCGTTTTACAGTTATATTTCCTAAGTATGGATACAAAGGACTCTTTGTAGAAGAGAAGAGGGTTTTTTCAGTTAGTTATCTGAAATTTTGTCCAGAATCTTGGCATTTTTTGAAGTTAATTATTACAGTATGGAGCAAAAACATCAAAATCCTTCAAGCAAAAGTTAGATAAAGATTGATGCTGGCTGCTCTTATTCCAAAGGTGGAAAAGAAGACCAAAGAACTGTAACCAAATAAAGGGACAAAGCAGTATCTTTTCTGTATACTTTTCCACATCACTAAAGCAGAGCTCAACATCGTTATCCTGTAAAGTGCCTATGGCTACCAGGTCTTTAGGTGTGCTTTTGCTATGCTTAGCTGACCTGTGGATGGGCCAGTTGCTTCAGTCTTCCTTCTACAATAATGACTTTTAACTAGATAGTCAATACTGTTCCTTGGTTGATACACAGTTGTTCCAGATGGTATATGGTTCATATGTATATTAAGGCAACTCTTACTTTGTAGGCCCAGTGCATCTGATTCCATCACTGTGTTGTGATGATACTTGCAGCCTGGAACACAGCTGTCATAGCTGTCCTTTTCACTCTCAGACGACACTTCATGAAAGGTAATTCTGGTTTTTTACATGTCCTTATTGTTAACTGTATCTTAATTAATTTAGTATTCCAGTGGAGTAAAGTAAAAAAACATTGAATTTCTGGCAAATGTTTTCTGTCAGCTTCATTGAGAATTCAACTTTATTGCAAAACTATCATTACTTCTACACATAAAGGAAAAATTAAATGGGATCTACTTTCAATGGTCTGAAGGTATAACTGTAGATCTCACCTTTGCACACTCAGATGACTGGACCTCTTTAGGATATATAAAGTACTGTGCTCTTGTTCAAACTGGCAGGTTGCTCAAAAGAGTGATACTGCCAATTAGGGGGGGGTGTTCAGATTTTTTTCCAGTCCAAATATATATATGGGTGTCTGGATGGTATTCAGGATTTTTCAGGATACCGATGGATGGATCCCAAAAAATTCTAGAAATATTTGGTAATACACGAAAATATTTGGGGCCAGCTTTTTAAGGTTCCCAGGGATTTTTCCTCAATTTTACACTGTGTCTGTGTAAGGTGGTTTTCTTTTGTTTTGTTTTTTGGTCTGTCTTGGTACTTGGTCTTGCCAAGTTGGTTTTGCTTGGTTTCTCTGGTTTGAAATTGGTTCTGCTAGTCTTGCAACAGTTTTCCTTGCTTCAGGTGGTTTGGATTTATGTTATCTATAGTTCTCTGATTCGACATTGGTTGTGGTAGGTTTGCCATGTTGGCCTATGGTTCTGCTGGGATTCTCTGGTTTGACATTGGTTCTGTTGGGCTTGTTGGTTCTGTTAACATTGGGAGGCTTTTGGCCAGTGGTTGGATGCTCTCATGTATTAGGCTATTGACTTCCTTGCCCTGGTGAAAGTGTGTCATCTTTCCCCATAGGAAACAATGGAGACAAGTAGGATGCAATCTACTTTAATTTGGGGATTCTTTAGTGGACAGGCGGGACTAGGTTCCCTGCAATTTTGGTGTCATTTGCTTGAAAAACAGCCATGTCAGCCTCCTGGAAAGAGTTCCCGTAGTAGATAATGGATCCCAAAAAATTCAGACACCCCCTTACCAATGCAAATACCAAACTAGTATTGGGGACCCGAGTAACTCGGAATACCAGTATTTATCCCCCTTCCCGAAATCCAATTTTTTTGCAGGTGCATATCCTTCCTGCCAATAACCAAAGTTCCAACTGTTCCATCCTGAAGCTATTTGCAATCATGCTTGTCCAAAAGCAAAATCCAATATCAAGAACACAGTCCACTTAAAGCCTTTTCTTAGAACTAACCACAATGACACAAAACTCTGTAAGCTTTCAAATTCAACAGAACCCTTCATCAAGAGCCAGCATAGTATAGTAGTTAGAGTGTCAAGTTAGGATCTGGAAGACCCAGGTTTGAATCCCCACTCTGTCATGGAAGCTTGCTGGGGGGACCTTGGGCCAGTCACACACACTCAGCCTAACCGACTTCACAGGATTGTTGTGAGGATAAAATAGAGAAGGGGGAAATGTGGCAAGCCACCTTGGGTCCTTGTTGTAGAGGAATGTGGGATATAAATAAAGTAAATAAATCAAACTAGATGTTACAAAATAAAAAAAGGTATGGCCAAAAAAAAAAGATGTTTCAGATGATAGTTTTTTAAAGTTCTGTTTCTTCCCACCATCCCTGTGCTTAATGCTGGGCAGGCACGTGGATTTAGAATGGTGCTGGTGACAGGTTGTGCCCTGGTTGCTGTGAACAAGGAAAAAACACACAAATGATGTCTCACTACTGAAATTACAAAGGCCAGCAATTTTCTTTGTATGTCTCTGACACCATGCAAGACTCACAAATCTCATGTCAGCTAAGAGCAAACGAATTACCTGGTAGTCATGTATTAATAATTTTGAGGATAAAGAGCAAACGAATTACCTGGTAGTCATGTAATTCTGAGGATACATTTACGGTGATGCACAAGGTGTAAAAGTCAGTTGAAGCCAAATTGGGTAGTTGTACCTCATGTTGCAGATGAATTACTATACATACAGTCTCTTGCTACTTCCAAAATTAACAAAAGCTATTTGTTTCTTTGCTGGCCAGCAGCAAAATCTGATCTGTGTAATACCTTTTATTGCATAATATATGCATAGTAGGTACTATTTTCTGTGGAGGATGAAGGTAGTATTCTGATGCGTGGATACTGGACTTTCTCAACACTAACTAAGGGCTAACCAAATTAAACACTGGGAGATCCGTGACTGGATCTTCTTGGCATGTTCTAGAGGGCTTTTGGTATCAAGTAAATTGTCTTTAGCTGCTTGAACTGTTTATGCTTTTAACTATATGTAGGTCCCTGCCACACAGGGAAAAAAAGTCGGGCAAAAGTGTGCCTTTTAAAAGCCGCACCAAAATAGGCACGCGGCGGCGGGATCATACAGATCCCGTGAGTCGCGGCGCAATTGCTCCCCGGCATGATCAGATGCTGGGGAGACAGTGATGGGAGGCTGCCGAACTGCGCATGTCTGAGCATGCACAGTTTGGCCAGGAGCCGGGGATGCGCCGGCGAAAGGACGTGCCGGCGATCCCACGGCCGGCCTTGATGCAGCCTTGCCAGAAGAACCACCTTGGTAGGTGGTTTATTTTTGCTGCGTGTTTTGGGCGGAAGGGCCGGATCAAGGACGGGTGCGTAACGCTTCCCAGATGTTGTGGTGGGATCGCGCCCGTTTGCTGCGCCCCCGATCCGTCCCTCTCCCGGCCCAAAACCTCTTGTGTGACCGGGGCCGTACCAGATCTTAACTGTGTTTAACTGTGTATTGGCTTTAACTTGCTGGACATTTGTATCTGTGTCCTGCAGCTTTTGCTGTTCAGTTAGCCACCCTGAGTTTGCAGAGATAAGGCAGGGTAGAAATATTATAAATAAATAAACTGCTTAGGCTGCTGTTGGCCCTGGAAAAACAGGCAAAAAGAGACTAGGGTGCTGCAGAGACTGGAGACCTTAGATTTCAGTTCATTTTGAGCACAATTATAAATAAAGTGTGGAATATGATTGCTACTGCATTCAGCCTATAACATAATGAATGACTTACAAGCACCAGCTCTTACTTTGTAAAATTTTTGAAACTTATTTGGCTCTTATTTCTCATAACCTTTCCAGGCATTCAAATTCTGTTGGTGAAATGATTCCAGCATTCCTTGGTTCCCTTTCACACTCTACCTGTGGAGATCTTTCCGATGCTTGGCCCCTCATCCAAAAACCAGGTTGTTGTGATGGCATCTCTTTCTGTGAATCATATCCTGAGCTAACAGGAGATGAAAATTCTTTCAGCCTAGAGACTGAGAAAACCATCATGGTAGATTCAAATACTGACCGAGATCTAAATCTATTCATGTCTACGAAGTTTCATTTTAGAAGCTTGGCAGAGTCAGTTGAACATCCGCCCAGAACGTCTTGTATTACTGCTTCATTAAATCAGACATTAGCTCCTGAACCGTTGTCATCAACAGAACAGGACGGATCCGCTAACAATACCAGAAATTGATGGCCAGGTAAGAGCATAGCAATAAATTGTGTTGTCTACCAGACACAGTTAAACAGTTACTAATGTTGTCTAGGATATATTTTTTCTTATCTAAATGAAATTAGTATCTAAAAGATCCTCAGTTACTAATTCAGACTAATTCAGACTAATTCAATTACTAATTCAGACTTAGCTTCCAAAAGCTAAACACAGAGACCAATTTCTAACCCACTTGTTGTTGTTCAGTCGCACAGTCGAGTCCGACTCTTCGCAACCCCATGGACCAGATCACGCCAGGCCTTCCTGTCTTCCACCGTCCTCTGAAGTTTGCTCAACCCACTTGCACGACAGGAATTAGCAGAGGAGGAAAACTTGCAGAAAGAGATAACAGTACTTCATATAAGATTGGGCACAGTGTGAAATTTAAATCATAAGGATTTGATGAATGAAGATACTGTCTTGCAAAGATAAACACTAACTGTCCCAATGCCCATGCAAGCACAGCATCAAACATGGGGAGGGGATCATTCTAGAGTTCAGTAGAATCCTCTTTCCTCCTTTTCCCTCACAGCCAGCCCTCTGTCATGTATGGATTGCAGCAAAGAAGCCATAATTTACAATGAGATATTGGCATAAACAGCTCCTCTAGGTTTTAACTTATCCTATCCTCCCCTCCCCTCCCCTCAGCCTTGGCTAGTTAATTCTTGCTCCTAAAAATTATATCAGCAGTCTTGAAAGGTACTATGTTTGCCTGTAGTTACTCATATCTAGCTTGCATGACCAGTTGTGCTGTGCATGAAATCTACGCACATCTTGTTTAACATTCTGTTTTACTTGTCTGATTTGTACAGTCAATATTCCAATTTTTTCCCCTATAGAAAAAAATTCTAAAGTTTATGGTCCAAATAAATTGTATTTGCACACTAGACATACACAACAGTATCAACTAGTGGCCCTGGATGGGGAGATGAATTCCTACCTGCACATCAAAAGATACAGCTAGCCAATCTGGATAAACTTTGCTTCCACATCATCTGCATGCAGGTCTCCCTTGCTGCACTGGGACATATTCTCAGTCTGTTGCCGTTGAGGTTTTGCACTATATTTGTACTTTTATACTTTTCCTGTACAGTGCTTATTTTACAGTACCATTTTCTAGTACCTGGGTATTTTAAACCATGCTTTTATCCATTCATATTCTAAGCATATGCAGGTATCGTATTTGAGTTTTACTGTAAATAAGATACTGTGACAAGATGGCATCCTAGGAACTCTCACAAAGGGCTGCTATGGGTATGACTGATTTCCTGAGCATTCCCCTTGAAAGGCAGCAAGAGTTGGGGGAAGCCAGCAAAAAGGAAGCTAAAACTAAGACATCACCAAAGGGTAAAGCCCAGGAGAAAGGGAAGTCATGACACTGGCGTTTGTAAAGGCTACTGTCTGACTCAACACACTTGCTCTGAGGGAGGGGGCAGAACAGTCCTAATAGTAGCTCAAGAATAGCCTGTGGCCCTGACCTGGATAGCCCGGGCAAGCCCAGTCTCATCAGATCCTGGAAGCTAAGCAGGGTCGACTCTGGCAAGTACTTGGATGGGAGACCTCCTTGGAACACCAGCAGTCGGGAGGTGGGGGCAGCCACCTCTCTGAATATCCTCCAGGCCCCCAGTAACCGGAGGTTGCCATGACTCCCAGGTGTACACACACACACACACACACATATATGAAAAATACAAAAAATAAAATAAAAAAGAACAGCCTGTGAAAGCTCACAGTCCCATGGATTTTAAAACTTGGTCTAAAAAGTGCCACTGGATTTTATTTATTTATTTATTTATTATTTCGATTTATAGCCCGCCCTCCCCGCAAAAGCAGGCTCAGGGCGGGTCACAGACAGGCATACGCCCGCACATAAAAACATTTTAAAAACCATTTAAAACATCATACAACATTACAAAATTACGTATATAAAGTGCTCCAGATATTCCAATTTATCTTCCACAAAGATGACGAACTTACTGCTGCTCTACTAGCTCAGTGTCCTCTGTTCCGGACAATTACCTGTTCCATGGCCAGGTAATGATGGTACCGTAGTGTTTTTTTCTGCAAAGGCTAAAATGTTATTTTCTATAAAGGCAAACAGAGATAACACTTTCTAACAGGCCCACAGTTTAATAATTATTGCTTTCCTAATGTTTGTTACTATAATTATTGGAGGAAAGGAGGAACTTTACATATAAAAATATAAATCTCTCTGTAAGAAAAACTCATGTTCCCAAATGGTCAAAGTGTTGAGTTGCAAAAATAAAAACAGATGGCATGAGTATCATGCTGTGATACTGATGGATCTAGGATTTGGCCAGGTGTAGATGACTGAGTTCAGTGCATCTGGGTAACACCTGCCGTCTTGCTTTCTTTTAGGAATCTAAAGGACCTTTTCCGGTCAGCCCTCAAACTGAATCCTTCCCATCACCACATGCCTTAGAAGAAATGGAATGTGGCCTGGATGTCAAAGTTACAGGGCTTCAAAAGCAGCTGACATACACTGGCATCATTGGAGACACAGCAGCTGTGAGCAAAAAGCTTCAAGGAGCAGCTTGGTAAAAAAAACAGAAACCCAAAGGCCGATTCATGCGACTGTGTCTCCTTTCTTAACAGCAAGCTTCTGTGCCTCGATGACACACAAGAAAAGCTTGGCAGACTGATCTTGCAGCTATGCAGACTGTGTAAATATAACAAGCTATAGAATAGTATTTTTTTATCTGCTTATGGCTACTAACGACAGCAGGTGTGTTATGGGTTTGCCCATATTCTGTTAGCGAAAGTAAGCATTTAATGGGATTTCTCAGTAAGCTGGACTGTTATGTCAACATAGCATGTGCCAAAAATCAAACATAGTGTGTGGGGGGGTATTTTTTGAAATAAATTGAAGCATGTATATTTTCTTACATTTTAAGTAGTGTTATGACCTTGGGAGCTAAGTGATCCAGATAGTTACAGTACACTGTAAAGAGATGTGTGTGGCGAATCTTCCTGTGGAGGGAAAAAACACTGTACGGCACTGACTTTTGCATAGCTACTTAGTATAGCAACATCTTTTCATTAACATTTACCCTTTGTTAAATAACCCCCAATGATATGCTGAGGGCGCTTTTTAAAGTGTTTGAAACAAAGATGTGAGTCTTCAATTAGAATGATAAAAGGTCAGTCTGATAGCCAGGACCATTTGAATTTGATATGTTTTATATTTGAAAAGGACAGAACTTACTAGATACCAAAAATAACTGAAAGTCCTCCACATCAACATATTGTGGTTGCACAATAGCAGGAAAGGGTTCATGCATTCAGAGACTTCCAGTATAGATACCACTGTTTTGAAGCCATAATGCAGAGTAGCCTGGCTCGTTTCACTATCTCCCTTTCAACTAATGAACATAAGAACATAAGAGACGCCAATGCTGGATCAGGCCAAAGGCCCATCCAATCCAACACTCTGTATCACACAGTGGCCAGAAATACCAGGTGCCATCAGGAGGTCCACCAGTGGGGCTAGGACATTAGAAGCCCTCCCACTGTTGACCCCCCCAAGCACCAAGAAGACAGAGCATCACTTGCCCCAGAGCCCCTATCTATACCTTGTGGCTAATAGCCACTGATGGACCTCTGCTCCATATGCTTATCTAATTCCCTTTTGAAGCTGTCCATGCTTGTAGCCGCCACCACTTCCTGTGGCAGTGAATTCCATGTGTTAATCACTCTGATTCTAGTTCAGTTCTTAGCAATGTGAAGAAGCTTGATACAGAATCCAAGGAACATTGTGGACAGTTACTGGAAGGCATCCCCCCCCCCATTTTATACAAGAGCTAATACCAACACCCTTAATTTACATCCTAACACTCAGGCTGGCAATTTACTACTCTCATGGAACGAGTATAAATTTCTCCACAGGCAAATCAGAAGATTCCAGCCTCCCCTTTGCAGCTTGTCTTTAGAATGTCCCTTTGCAGAGAAAATAAACCCCACTGCATAGAGGCTCAGTTAATGCTGCGTTTTGCAATATCCCACATGACTGACTGAGATGTCACTTCCATGTCTGAAGACTGCTATTTTGTTCCCCAAATGGCTGGATTTATAGTGTTTTTCATCTAAGACCAGGGAGCCTAACCATTAAACATTTGGGATGAGTTCTGGTTCACTGAAAATAACTCTTTGAATCAGTTTTGGGGTTTGGATGTGACTCCGTTTTAGACCCTATATGGTCCAAGGCTAACCTAAACATTTTACCTTTTTTGTGGATTTATCATTCCTTTGAACCAACTCCCTACATGTCATGGACTTGAATTATTTACAATGAGGAAGGTTAATCCTTAACTTTTTTTCTTTATAAGTGCAGCTGTTTATCTCTTTTGTTGTTGTTAGCCATTCAGTCATGTACAACTCTTGGCAATTCTGTGGACCAGCTCTCTCCATGTTTTCCGATCTTGTACTGTTTTTTTGAGTTGTTCCATGCTCAGGCTGGTGTTCTATGGTGTCTAGCCACCATGTTCTTTGGCAGCCCAGTTTTCTTTTTGTTATCCCTAACTAGACTGAAATATGCATTCTGGATGTAGTTTATTCTTATGTTCCTGGTTGCTGCTTCTATGGACATAAATCACACTAAATTCTCACCATTAGATTATTCCCAAGTAAGCATAATCATGTCCCATTATGTTCTATGGAGACTTTTACCAGGGAGCAAGCATTACTAAAAATTGAATGTCTAGCTTCAGAGTAAACTTGCATAAAAATCAGGCTGCACTACTCACTTTGGGCAAAGTGGGGCACCCATTTATTTACATTTCTCTGGCTTTGGGGGAAGAAAAGGAAGAAACCATCATGGCATAAATATTTGTCCTCCCTTAATTTTGTTAGAGAACCATTATCATTGCACCATTATTGCTATTTACCATAACTAAGAAGTCTGTTTGCTTATGTACAACCATGTGGATTTGTACAAAGCACCAGTAAGAATAAAACACCCATTCTGTGTACACTACAAATGCAATCTGTTCTCCAGCTAAGGACATGAATATGGTGGTAAATGGTGGAGATGAAGATTCATTTGGGCACAAGCCCATAACTCCCCATTTTGCTGAAAGATCTTTTATCTTTACATATGTAGAACATTCAAAGTATATTCTACTTCCCTCTCAAATACCTGCATCCTCCCTGAAAACAGCAGAATTTCCTCCTAATTTATGAGAAAAATTTCAGTAAATTCGGAAGGTGCCCTGTTTACTTCTTACCTAACTTGGGAGAAATACTAGGGCTCTTCTCTCCTCTGCCTTTTCTCTATGGGCTGCAGTGTCCAGCCACGTATATCCTCCCCCCCCCCAAAGTGTGGGATAAGGAGTACCCAATATGATGTTTGTTTGGGTGGAGAAGAAGATGCCTTGTTATCTCTCCGGAGACTGGAAGAGCAGGGAGAGAGCACCTCTCTCCAGGTGTTTTGAGGCAAGCAGAACCAAAACTTCTCTCCTATTCTCTCAGTCACCTACTATCCCCTTGCATACATGTTGTTCTTGATCACAATGCAGCACATGATTACACCTAGTGCAGAGCTAAGCGAAATGAAATAAAGCCATTGCCCAGATACTAGACTGCTGCAAACCTGGCCCTCTGGACACAACTGCTGGGATTTTCTTAGTTCAAACTAGGCTCAGGTACTCCCTTGATCTCAGTTTCCAATTGATCCATTAATCTTGTTTCCATTCATTGCCCCTTTCTCAACCTTGCTAAGATCTGTAGCTATTCAGTCACCATCCACCAATCTCCATCCTATACTTTCTTGTTAGTTGGCTTGCCCTTCAGTGTTGTTTGGGTTCCCATAGCTACCACAGCCATTCTCAGAGTCCATTGCCTCAGGGCATTGGTGTCTGAAGCCAAGTCATAATGCTCGGCAAGTCTGAGTTTTCAGAATTTGTTTTTTGCACCCAGCCTAATTTTTGGCAGATCTCTCAGCCTGGAATTTCATATCACACCCCAAATCAACTGTCTTTATCCAGAGGAAGTATTTCATCCAAGGATCCTCTCAACTGCTGGCAAGTTAAACTAATATTACAAAAGTAACAGCCTGATTAGCAACCCGATTAGCGGTAAAGTCAAAGGATGCCATCAGCCAATAAGTTGTACTGCTTAATATCCATTGAAATGAATGGAGGCAGCATCTACAATAATACTGTGGTATAACAGCTATTTATTTCAGAGGAACTTTCATGGGAGAACTTTTCAGCAGACTGTGACCAAAGTACTTAACTTTCAACTGACTTTAGTCCCATTAAAATCAACATGATATTTAATTAAGAACATAAGACTTGCCTGGCTGATCCTTCTAGTTCATTTTCTGTTTCCTGCATCAGCCAAGCAGGTTTCTGAACTCAGCCATTCTTTGGGCTGCTTATAATGTGTGATGGCTTTGGGTGTATTAGAAAGGCTGCAATCCAATGCACATTTATGTGAAAGTAAGACCCATTGAGGTCATTGGGATTTACTTTCAAGTAACTATGCATATGATCAGACTGTTATTTTAGAAAACTGTTGTAACAAAATTCATTTTGTTTTCACGCATTAGACAAACATAGCAAATAATGTGTATACTTTATGCACAAAGAACTTGTTGTGTAAACTTTGTAAATACAAAAACAAATCCAATGTGCATTTCAGTGTTATTGCAAAACTGTTGATAAAAATGTGTACAGGTTACTGTTTACCTATGAAAACGGCTGTAAAATAGATTATGGTTACACATTTTGTTGTGCTTTTTTCCCATCAAGAAGTATGTTTCTCATTGAGATTTGTATGACTGGACTTCTCTACCAGCTACATACCAAGATCAAGTGTTTAAAATGCAGCAGGACTTTAAAATATGTATATAGTGTAAATACAGTTTTTGAAATGTTTGATTTAACCAAATTAGCCTTGATTATGGTGCCTATGGTAAACCGTGTTGGATAAGGCAATAGAAAACACAGACATTTTAAAGACTGCGTACAAACAAGAGTTTTCCCAATATTATTTTACATACAGGGATTTCTGTAAATTACAGTTGTGTGTATATTTTATATGTTTTTCTATTTGTGAATAAATAGCCATTGAAATATTACCAGTGTGTGTGAGTTTCAAATCACCTATCTTTGCCTAAATAATGAGGCCTTTCAAGCCACCCAAGTTTAAAAGAATACCCAATTTAAACAATCTGTAGATCAGAAATCCCCAACCTTTTTGAGCTGGTGAATGCTTTTAAATTTTTGAGGCGAGGTGGCAGGCACCACAACAAAATGGCTGCCACGGGAGGGACACCAAGCACACATTCTCACACACACAAGAGGGTGGAGGATGTAGAATTTAAATGCAGAAAGAGAAGAAACCTGGGAGGGGAGGGGGGGATAACACACACAGAGAGAAGACAACAACCACCAATGGGGGAAAGGAAGGATAAAACACACACGCAAAGAAGATGACTGAGGGCGAAATAACACACATGCGCAGAGAGAAGTGGGGATAATACAGACACAGAGAAGACATCAAGGGAGAAAGGAAGAATAATTCACATACATACACAAACAAGCAGAAAAAGCATACAACCAAAAGGGAAAGGGAGAACAAAACACCAACTTAGGTGACCAAGTGGGGATATAATACAGACACAGAGAAGACATCAAGGGGGAAAGGAAGAATAATTCACATCCACACACAAATAAGCAGAAAAAGCATACAACCAAAAGGGGAAGGGAGAACAAAACAC